CCAGTCCAGCCTTCAGGTGGCTGGGAGACCCGGGAATAGAGCTGAGTATTTTATAGCCGAGTCTGAGTCACGTGGCTGGGCCGGCGTCTCCGCCCCCGGCTCGGAAAGCCTTCCCTGGGGCGGGGCGGGGTGGGGCCGCGGGCCTGTAGCTACTGGAGCCCTGGAGACGTGCCTGCGGGGGCGTATGCGCGGCGGCCGCGGTGGGGATGGGGGCGTGTGTGCAGCACCGTGGACACTGGCGTGCCTGCGGGCCTTCCCTACCCTCCCCACCTCGAGGGGCCGCCTTCCAGCTCAGGGCCACTCCTCCTCGCCCCTCCCCCCTATTTCCCACGGGCCAAGCTGGGCTCGGTGACCTGCCTGCTGCGGAGGGAGACTGAGGCACGGGCAGGCGAGGGGGCTGACGGGGTCCACTGCCCTCCCCGCCCTGTGGGGACTGAGTCCCTCGGACTCCCGGGGTGTCAGAGCCTGTGTGAGACCTGGCAGATCTGAGGAGAGAGGGTGCTATTGCGTGCGGGGGATTGGGGAAGGGGAGGTAGTGATGGAGGAGAGCCGCAACCTCCTCTGGGCATCTCTGTCCCCGGACACAGCTAGCGCTTTGCGCCTGCCTCTGTCAACACCAATTCCCTCCCCTCTGCACCCTTTAGCTGGCAGGAGGGTAGAGGAGCCAGAAGAGGGAACTCAGGCTGGGCTGTGTATGCCTAGTATAGGAGGTGGGCAGTGCAGGGGCTGCGTACCCCTGTGAGAACCCCAGGAAAGCTCTCCTCCTGGCTATGCTAAGTATTTCTCATTTCACCCAAACTCAAATATATTGAGGACAGGACTTGGGGACTGTTAGCCCAGCCTCACCAACTGTGTTTGGCAGTTAACATCAAAGTACCTCACATGCGTGATCTCTTCCATCCTCTCAACCACCCACCAGGCCAATATTGCTGTTATTGTCTCCATTCCACAGATGAGAAAGCTGAGGCACAGTTACGTCCCAGGTCCAGGGCACAGCCAGGATGTGAACCTGGCAGCTCTAGCCATACCTGGCATTTCCCTACTATGTGGCACTGCCCCCAAGGCTACTGCCCTTACTTACCCGCTACCCAGTGCTCAAGGCTGAAATCCCTGCTCAGGACCATCTTGGTGGCCTGAGGCATAGCCGCAGGTTGGACCATGTCCCAAGTGCCCTTCTCACCTGCACTACCCCCAACAGAATGCTCCCAGGCTCTGCCATACCCAGCAGATGCCTAGGTGCACCATCCCTGCTGGCCTGGGCCTCCAGCTCCAGAAACATGAGCCTACTCTCCCTTGGCCAGGCCGAGGTGTATGGGTGTGATGGGGGTGGCACTGGCAGCCAAAGCTTCAGGGACAGGGATGGTGATACGGACAAGCAGAAACAGAAAGGGAGCAAGAGACAGAGAGGCCAGGACAAGGACCAACTCTTGGCCGGGATCAAGTAGGTAGCCCCATCATGCCCTCAGCTGGACAGGCCCCAGAGACAGAAGGAGGTCCAGACCTTTTCCAGGTTGCTTATCTGAGTCCTGGACTTCCTCTGGAAGGGTCTGGGGGCCTCCAGGGTTCATGGCCTCTGAGTAGGGTAGGAGCTGCAGGGGTCAGGCTGGCCCTCCTCTGGACAAACCCTCCAGGGAGCCCACAGAGGAACAGCCTGGGTAGATGCTGAGGGTAGGAGTCTGGACACTGCTCAGTGCTACCCCTGATGGGCCCATTTCCTTGGGTACAAACCTGGAGGAGGAAGAAGGGAAAGTACCACTTCTGGATGGCCGCTATGGGCCCAGCCCTGTTTGGGGATTATGCCCCATGTCACAAGAGGCCACTGAGGGTTTTTCCAAGGCTGACAGCCTGTGACTCGGTAAGTGACCATATCTGTACCCCTGGCCAATGTGAGCTGAGCCCTCGACAGGTGTCCACGCTGGCTGAGGCTCCACATACATCATCTCACTGAACCCTTACTCAATCCTCAGCATGGGTTTGTCATCAGTCCCTTTCACAGGAAGGACTCAGGATCAGAGAGTTATGGTCACCTGCCCAGGGTCATACAGTTACCATGTGACACAGCCAAGACTTACTCCCAGGCCTCAGCAGGCCCCTCTAAGGTCAATGCCAGGCAGGTTATGGGAGCACAGAGGCCAACTCATCTGGATCCTGCCTTGGCCCTCCCAGTCTAGCACCCAGGAGCAGTTCTAGCATTCAGAATGGCTCTAGCTGAGTTTGGCCTGGACTCCCTGGACCCCAAACAAGTCTGTTCTGCCTGGGGCCCCTGTCCTAGGGCCTGTCTCTGGAGGGAAGCCCACCCACATCCCTCCTCTGCCCTCACCATAGTGTGGCCTGCACAGCCTCCACCCCTCTGCCCCTCTCAGAGTGCATCCGCTTCCCCTTGGAGTCTCCAGAGGACAAAGCTTGGTGGAAGCCAGTGTGTGCTTGTAGCCCCTGAGCCCACCAGTCTGCATAATCCTGAGGGCCAGAAAAGTGCTTCCTACTGTCTAAATCCTTCTTGCTCCTGCACCACCAGCCTCCCGGTAAAGCAGTGGTTTTCAACAAGGGGTGATTTGCCCCCCAGGGGACATTTGGCTGTGTTTGGAGACATTTTCATCCGTCACAACTTGAGGGAGGGGAGTGCTACTGGCATCTAGTGGGTAGAGGCCAAAAATGCTGCTAAACATCCTACAATACATAGGACAGCCCCACAACGAAGACTGGTCTGGCCCAAAGGTCAGTAGTGCTGAGATTGAGAACCCCTGATGTAAAACATGGGCTTTGGAGCCAGGCAGACCTCAGTTTGAATCCTGCCTCTGCTGTTTACTAGCTGTGTACCCTCAGGTAGGTGGCTTCACCTCTCTTTGAGACTCAGTTTGCTCATCACCGAAAGTGGCACTGACAGTGGTCCTCGCCTTACAGGGTCTTGAGGAATTATCAGCTTGCACACATTCCAGTACCCAGCCCAGGGCCTGGCACTAGGGAAAGTCCATCAGTGATAGCCGTTATACTTTTCCATTTTTCAAGGTGAACCTCAGGGTGTGGGAGCAAAGTTCTAGTGACTGGACTTGGAGCTTCTCAAAGGTCTGTCCTCCTTTACCTTCCCTCTAGTGGCCCCTGGCACGGGGTGAGCCTATTGTTGATGTTAAGGGAGAGGCTAGGTTGGCCACTATGGACCTGGAGGGAGGAACCAGAAAGGAAACTTGATCCCAGGTGGGCAAAGGTCACCTGAAGCTCACCTTGCTCACCCTTCCCTCCTGCCCAACCCCAAGGAAGCCATGGGGTGGGGGGTGGGGGGGGGGACCAGGACACAAAAGACACTAATGAATACAGTCCCTTAGCGCAGAGAAATGCCATGGACTTACAGCTGGGCATAAGGGAGGAGTGGCATTTGAGTGGACACAACCAAGACAGGTGAGATATGGGGGTGGGTGGGAAATGGCATTCAGGCCCAGGGAACAGCATGTTCAAGGTCTGGTTGTGAGGAGTAGATATAAGACCTATTTCTCAAATGATAGTCTAGTGTGGCCAGAGGGCTCCAGCTTGGAGGAAAGAACCTGCCCCAATGGGGTATGGGACAGGCATCAGGGCTGGGAACCCAGACATTAACCGGTTGTCAAACTAGGTCCTCCTTCCTAAGTGTAGGTACCTGTGGTGGGAAGAATCATTGGAGTTTTTCTCTTTCCAGCCCAGACATCACCCCCTCCTCACACTTAAAACAGAATTTTAGGGTCCACATCTCTGCCAGAGCTCTCCATCCCTAGAGGTCTAACTGGACCCCTCCTCCCCCCAACCCCCAGGTAACACACCTGGTCTGGCCCCTTCTCCCCACCCATCTTCCCCAACCCAGGGTCCTCCCATCTGAACAATGTGGCAGCCCCTCTGCCCCCATCCGGCCCCTCCCTTCTCCTGCAGCCCCTCTGCCTCATCCATTCCCCCAGGAGCCCACTCGGTTGTAACAATCACCACCAACGCCTGCTTCTTGAGAAGACCAAAGTCTTAGCCATGACCTGTCTCTGCTGTGGGCCCCTTGATCAGCTCAGGCCTCCTCCGGGATTGGCCCCCCATTTCCATCCCTTAGGCCTCAGCTGGGAAGAGCTGTCCACACTCTCCCCATCCCCTCTAGGTGGTCCCCCAAGAGGCCTGGGACCTGGAACTCTCTTCTTTGCCTCTGGAAAGTGACATTTCTTTGGAGTATGGAGCCATCGACTTGGCTTTCTGAGCTTTGGGGGCAAGGGAATGGACTCCCTGGGCCCCACTGCATCCCTAGATTTTAGGCCCAGAGGATACCCAGTAAATGAACGAATGAATGAATGAATGAGTTATGCCTGACAACCAAGTTCCAAGTCTGGAAAGGACGCTCAGGTGCCTGTCAGGGGTGATGGGGAACTCTGGAAAGTGGGAGCAGGAGAGGGGAAGACTGGGGGATCGGGGTAGGGACTGCTCCCAGAATCGCCTGACAAGCAGCGGCAGACCAGCGAGAGCCTCCCGCCCTGGAGTCTTCTCAGCTTGTCTCGGGGCAGGGGCGGGACCAGCAGGCCTGGCGGCGGGCACCGAGCCCGACCAAGTCCGCATTCCGGCCAAGAGGAAGAGAAAGAGCGAGGCCCCACAAGGCAGGCCAGCTGGCCAGTGGGGAGTCCCAGGCGTGGGCGTTGGGAGCTGGGGAACCCCCGCCCGCGCCTCCCTGGCCTCGGCGTGCGGGGAAAGGGGTGGGGAGAGCGCCCCGTCGGGCCTCAGCGTCCTTCTCTGTAAGATGGGGCCCCTTCTGAGGGCTGGTGAGCGCTCCAATGGCGGGCAGGGGCCGAGGTGTGCAGAAAAGGACAGAAGCCCACACCCTGAGCGACTCGCACCGAGAGGCGGCGACGCTGGCCCTCGGGCTCCGGGCTGGCGGAGGCGGGGCCTGAGAGGGGCGGGCCCTTGTGGGGGCGGGGCCGGCCCGGCACCTGGGTGAGGTCCCGCCGCCCCGCCCCCTTGTACTTCCGTGTGCAGCGGCGCGGGAGCGGCAGGCGGCGGCGCCGGGATCCCCGAGCGACCCCCGGCATCCGCCCGCCGCGCCGAGGCCCGGGCGTACCTCACCGGGCTCCCGGCCCGCCCCGGTCGGGCCCACACCGACCCCCGTCCGCACGCGCCCCGGAGCCGCGCCGGGAGCCGGACCCCAGCCGCCGGGACCCCTGGCGCCTGGCCCTGCGCCCGGAGGTGAGTGAGGGCCGGGCCCGGACGTGGAATCGGGGCTACCCCGAGGGCTCTCCGCCCTCCCTTCCCCCTCCCTGCTCCGGTTCCCGTTTCCGAAACTGAGAAACTGAGCCGTGGCCAGCGAAAGTCCTACCGCGCGTTGAGACCCACCGGTGCCTCTGTGCCCCAATTCGTCCGTCTGTCCCTCCGTTCCACGGTAGGGGCAGAGGCCCTCTCATCCGTCTGCTCCCGGCCCCTTCACCCGCCTGTGTGTCCCCAGCTCCTCCGAGGGTCCGCCTGTCCCTCTGAATCTCTGGGGCCCTCTGTCCGTCCATCTGTCCCCACCCCCTCTGTGTTCTCCTGTCGCCTCTCAGTGGTCCCGATCTATCTTCGCCCTCCGCGGGCCCAGTCGCTCCACCCCTACCCCACCTCCCGCTGCCCCCTGATCCTGTCCTCCCGGGGCCGCGCCCCCGGCCCACGCTCGCCGCCCCCTGCCGGTCCCGCCGCCTCTCCTTTCCTACAGCCGGGCCGAGGCCGGGCCGCCCGCCGGGCCTCGCCTCCCGCCCCTGGGTCCCTGCCCGGCCCAGCCCGCGCGGCACCTCCTCCTCGCTCTGTCTCTTCTTTCAGTCTCGGTGTCTCTCTCCATCAGTCTCCGAGCTGGGCGTGGCTCCAGTCTCTACCCTCCCCTTCCCGCCCTACTCCTTCGCCCCTCTAAGCCCCCTCCCCTGGTGGCCCCTTCCTGGTCCCATCTGTCCCCGGCCCCTCCCCAATCCAGACGCCAACCCTCGTGGGGGCCCAGCCAGGTGAGGGGAGGGGGTGGAGAAAAGCCGAGTGGGGAGGCGGGAGGTGGGCACTGTCGGAACTGCTCCACTTTCCCAGCTGCCCCATTTGTCCTTATCAGGGAGAGGAGAGCCCCGCTGAGCCCCCTCACTTAAACCTGGTCAGAAGGATTTGGTGATAGTGTGGGCTGTCGCCTTGTCTCTGGCCCCTGTCCTGTTTGCGTGGACCCTATCTCCTTGTGTTGAGTTGCCTGTATCTGGGCTTGTGGATATGTTGTGTGTGTGTCTCCTTGTGTGTTCTTTGTCACTGCGTCTGGAACTTGCCCCTGTGTGCCCTGTCTCACATGTGTGACTTGCCTGTGTGTATGTTTGTATGTCTGTTTGGGTGCCCTGAGGCTCTGTGTGCCCTTTGCAATTATGTGTATACTATGTCTTGGTGTGTGCTTTGTCACCAGACTCCCCTCAATGTATTGGGGTGTATGTGTGTGTGTGTGTGTGTCTGGAGGGTCCTGTGTTGCACGCTGAGTATGTAATGTGTGTGTGTGTGTGTGTGTGTGTCTGGAGGGTCCTGTGTTGCACGCTGAGTATGTAATGGTGACCCACTGGCCATGAGTATATCTGAGTTGTTCATTGTGGGAGCCTGTGGTGTTAGGGTGCCAGCCCACCAGGCTCGTGTGTATGTGTGTCTGTATGAGTGTGTGTATGCGTGTGCACTCACATGTTCTTCCTCTCCCTCTGCCGCTGAACCACTGTGACCAAGCTGACCTGGTCACCGAGGGAGGGGACTGGTCCCTTGGGTTTCCTCGTTCCTGCTGTGGACTGAGCAGGGGTGTGGTGGACAGGCCGGCAGAGGGCAGCTGTGTCGTGTGTGTGTGTGTGTGTGTGTGTGTGTTGTGGAGGTGTTTGGATAACCATCCGTATCTGTAGGTATGGGATCTCATGTGTGATGGACTGTGGCTGGGGAGCAGATGACTGATGGGAGTCTCACAGTCTGACTGTATGAAACTGCCAGTATGTGTGCAGAGGAGTAACTGTGATTGTGGGAACCGAGAGTGCTTGTGCGTGGGTGTGAGTAGCAGGAGGGGATGCAACAAGTATGTGGTGCCCGTGCCCTGGGGTGACAGTGTTGGGAGGGAAGGTGAGAGCCCCAGTGTGTGTGTGAGCGCAGGGGAGGCTGTGAGGGTATGGGTGTGCACTTGGCACACTCAAGCCCAGCCTTGGCTCCTGGGGAGATGGGCTCACTTTCCTCTTCTCCCCCAAGTTGATAGACACTGGAAGGCAAGTCTTGGGGTTTGTATTGTTGTAACCAAGACCTGGGGCTCTGGACGTAGGAAAGACTTGAGCTCAAATACTCGCTGTGCCTATTGAGAGTAAGAGGCCAGAGCGAGGCCTCGTTAAGGCTATTTCCTTATCTGCAGAATGGAGAAAGTTGTGGTGAGGACTAGAGGTCCTGTGTCAAAGGTCCTTTAGTACAGCCTTGGTCCATGGTGAGAACTCAGCACATGCTAAGTCTTATTTGGTGACCATTTACCAACTCCCAACCGTATGGTCCCCATTCTCCTGGCAGCTGGGGCCATAAAAGCCCAGATAGTCCCCAACCCAATTTCCTGCCTGGGATGGCTCTTGCTCCCTCCCATCCCCTTGACCAGATGGCTTGTAGGACGGAAGATGGCTGACAGAGACCCCACCAGCATCCAGCCCTGTTCAGCCCACATGTCAACCCCTCCCCGCCCCCAGTCTCAGCAGCAGTGATGGCAGAGAGAGTGGTGAGGGGTGATTGGTTTGGAGCTGTGATTGCAAGGCCCTGACACCGTTTAGCTGGCACAGCTAATTGGAGTTTAAATTAAAATTAAAAATAATTTAAAATACAGACAAAAAGATAAAGCCTGAGGATGCCTCAGCCCCCAGGGAGCAGTGATGGGGGTCTTCAGCTAGAGGAGGGGCTCACATCTGGGGAGGGGACTCTTTTGTGGAGACCTGGCCTGACCTGCAGAAAAAGTGCTTAGGCCTTTCAGCCAGGAGGCCTGGAGCACCTTGCTGCCTTTGCCAGTCCTTTCTTCCAGGATCTCTCTAGGTCTCAGATTGTGCAGCTGTATAATGGGTATAACTAGTAATGTGGGAATCACCTCAAATAGAAGGTACAAAACAAGGAACAAAAACGTGTCACCGTTCGTTTGGCATTCCCAAGGTGAGTCCAGCACAGGAGCTGGCATGCTACATCACTGGAGCCTTGGAACCACCTGGGGAGATTTATTCTCTCCATTTTAAAGATGAGACAAACTGAGGCTCAGAGGAGTTGCCCAGGCCACAAAGTGGTGGTACCCAATTGTATCCTAGGTCTCCCAAGCCCACAGGTCAACCTCCTGGAGAGAGGAGGATTAGGAACAGCCTTCTTGCTGTGTCTGTAGGACTCCTCACCAGTCTGGAAACAGGAGGAGGGCTGAGACACAATGTTCCAACCCCTAGCATAGGCTGGACACATAGCTGATGCCCTGGGAAAGTTAGGCCCAACACCCCATTTCACAAAAGAGAAAGCCGAGTCCAGAGAGGCAGAGGTGTCAGAGGCAGACGAGGGTGAGCGAGCCTGTGTCGTCTGAGCTGGGGCTGACTGATGGGGAGAGCCTGCTTGGTGGCGCCTCCCAGCTTAGCTCTTTTCTCTTGTTCCTGCAGGTCTGCCAGCAACTGGCCCAGGTGAGGGCGGCAAGCTCACTTATCCTGGTGGTTCTTGCATGGTAGTGGTGACAGCAGGAGCCAGGACTGAGGAAAAGGGGGAGCCGGGAACCCCAGGTAAGACTGGGTCCTCTTAAACAGATGGACAGATGGACAGTGTATAGGGGTGGCCTTCCTCTTTGGGCTCCTCCCCTTCTGCCCTGGGACTGGGTCGAATGAGGGGGACATGCAGAGTCCTTGGTCTGTGTGTAGGGACATCCAGAGCGGGCAGCAGTTTGCCCTGTGAGAGCGCCCTGCTTGGAATTGGCGTCTGGCCCAGGGAAGGCTTTGGCCTTGGAGCTCTGAGGCCTGGGACCCACAGTGATTTGGGGCGAGGAGTGGTGACACTTTGCTGGTCAGTTAGAAGGTGGTATATGAGCCAAGAGTTGAGGGTGGATGTATCAGCTTTTCCGCAGCCTCTTGTCTCTGCCGCAGGCTGTCCTCATCATCACACAGGGACTCTGAGGTTTGCCCTGGGCCCCAGAGTGGGTTGGACACCAAACTAGGAATGGAACGAGGTCTCCCAGCTCCTGGCATGACTGAGGTTCCCCATTTCCCCAGCCTCTCTGGGGCCAGAGGAGGGACTCTAAATCCGCTTTCCAGCCCCCAGATTTGGTGAGCTGGGCAGAGTCTCTAGGGAATCCTGGGGAAGGCTGCAGTCTCTGTGGCCCCTCATAAAGTTAGAAATTCTTTCCTTTGGGGCCAGCCTTGCCTCTTTCATTCCCCATTGCAATAAAAACAGCCCTGTGAGTTATCCATTGTGTGTCCAGAGCCCAGTGAGCAGGATTCTGGAGGAAGTGGGGGGGGGGGGGGGGGTGGTGAGGGCACCTGGAACCTAGGGAGTGACAGTGGGGAGGGGTGGCAAAGATGGTCTTTCCTCCAGGAGTCCTCCCTCATCAACCCCCTACTCCCACTCCTGCTGTCAGGCACCTACAGGTCTAGGAGATGAATAGACCAGTGGGGGCTGGGCTCCCTGGGCCTGCTTTGGGGCAAGGAGGCCAGGAGGTCTGGGCATTCACTCTTGGGGTGGAAGTCAGGGCTGAACAAGGGCAGGTTTTCCCTGGGTCTTCTGTGAATTCAACCTACCCCCAAACCTGGCAGGGAGGAGATGAGGTGCCCTTAGTTGGCTGGGGGCCTGTGCTACTTGATGGTCAGGGGGCCATCCCCTCCTCGCACGGAGCCTCATTCCCTAAGAATTTCAACTAATTAGCCTGGGAAGCAGCCCACTTTCAACTCTGAAACATCACCTAACTGGCATAGACATATATGTGCTCGCACAGAGATACAGAAACTGAGGCTCTACTTGGTACCCATGCCCACAGACCCACAAGTGCCTGCACACACACCACACATGTGCAACACACAGGTGTTCACATGCACTCACCCACAGGCACGCTCAGACACGCCCACAGATGCTCACCCAGTCATCCATGCACTCAGATGCCAGCCCACACACACCACACTGTGCCCATTCTGGGTCAGGGAGGGGGGTCCTTGGTCAGGGTCACAGCCCAGTCTGCATCTGGCACTGCTGGTGAGGTTTGAGGTGTGCCTGTGACCACAGGCGTTCCAGGGGGTTGGGCCACACTGGGAGGTGGGCTCTGCCCAGGCTTTTACCAGCTATCCCGCCCATCTGGCCCAAGTTCCCAGGCTGACCAGGGCTTGGCATTGGAGGTGGGGGCGGGCAGCATGGGTGTGGGGGAGAGGCCATGTCAGCTGTGCCGGCACACCGTTTGTGGCTGCTGCCACAGAGGAAGTGGGCTGCCTGTGGTCATGGGGCCAAGGTGCTCGCAGGCGGGTGGGGGTCCTGTCAGCTCCTCTGTTCCCCACAACGTCCATGCCTGGTAGAAGTGGAGTTGCTGGGCTCTAGGGACTGGGAGACAGGCAGGGTACTTCTGTCTGTGCACTTTCCAAGGCCTGGGCCCAGAGGAGAGGCCTGTTCGTTCGAGGCATTTCCGGAGGCTCACTTCCTCTGGGCTGCCCAGGAAGTGGTTTCAGAGTGGGACTGACCAGTTCTCCGTCTGTGGCTTGCCCCACCCTGGCCTTGCCTGCGAGGGGAGCAGTGTCTGGCCAGTGGATTAGGCCAACTGACCAGGCTTTCTGCTGCCAGGGCGGGCCAGGCCTTGATGGAGGCTCAGGAAGAGGGGTCGGGGGCTGAGGCCATGAAGTCCTCTATAGCCCCAGCTCCTCCCTTGCTCCAAGCCTGTAAGCCTCTCAGAGTGTTAGCAGCTCCAGTTAGCATTAGGCAGCTCCAAGCAGCTGTATGAATGAACCTTGGCAGGTGGCTTTGATGCCTAGTGCCTCAGTTTCCCCCTCTGACAACTGAGATAATGATGGCATCCACCTTTATGGGGTTGTGCTGGAAACAACAGATAATATATACAAAGTAGCTAGCACCCTGCCTGGCACATTGTTAGTGTTTAAGGAGTAGAAACTGTAGTTATGTAAAGCACTTAGCATCCGGTTCATGGAAACTGTTCAAAAAACAGCAAGTGGTACTGATGATGGGGTTTTTATTGTCTGATGGCCTGGGCACTGGCCCAGTGTCACAGGGCCAGGTGGCTACAGAGCCTGGCTAAGAAACCAGGTCTCTGGCCGCCTCAACCCCCTTGATTCAGCCTCCAGCAGCAATGCTGTGGGGTGGGGAGGGTTCCGTGGGTTCAGTAGATTCCATGTCCTCCGAGGAAAGGAGCTCCTGGGTACAGCAGCTGTGCCGACTCAGTGGCCAGCCCCCACTTGCTCTTCTCCCCCTCACTCCCTTTCAAAGGGAGGAAAATAGATCTCATGACAAATGAATACAGGGAAGGGAAAGTCAGGCTGCAGCTGCCTGCTGCCCCTCAGGCGTCCCCCAGGCTCCCTCCCCAACTCTGGGCCCCTGCAGGACAGTGGGCTTGGAGAAGCTGAGGGTGGTGATGAGTGGGTAGATGGAGAGTGCTCCTGCCAGCCTGCCTGCCCTTCAGACCCCTGGAGTCAGTGTTTGGGCTGGGGAAGGAGGTGGACATCTGGGGCAGGTGGAGGCTAGAGGAGTGGGGTAGCTAGGAATGCCCCCATCCACACATCTATCCTTGACTCATGGCAGCTGGTGGCAGGGACCTACCTATACCAGGGACATGCGGAAAGCCAGGGAGGGCTGGGTTGAGCTTTGGCCTCCACTACCCAGGGCTAAGAGTCTGGGTGCCCGGGTGTTGGATGGTAATGCTGGTGGTGTAGTAGACAGGGGCCAGGAGGCTGGAGCGCTGGAGCCTGGCGGGGGCCTGTGCTAGGAGAGTGAGCGAGGGCATCCTGAAGGTTTAGGAGCAAGACCTCTGCAGGCATCTGACAGACCTGGTCCAAATCCTCGCTTGATGTTTACTGGCTGTGTACTCTTGAGCCAGGGACTAGACTGCTCGGAGCCCCAGTTGCCTCATCCATGAAATGGGCAGATCAGGGAGTGTCCCTCTGAGACCTGAATGATAAGAAGGAGGTTTCAGGAGAAGGGGCAGGAAGATGGAAGGAACTTGGCTGTTCAGGGAACCTAAAGGGGTCACTGTGGCTGGTGCAGAGGAGTGAGGAGAGGGCAGCGATTGGGGAGGGCAGTGAGGTAATGGGGGCAGATTGGGTGGGGCAGGCCAGGGCGAGGAGCCTGGGCTTATCAGAGGGGAAATGGGAAATACTGGGAGCTTGGGCAGGGGGTGATGAGATCTGCTTTACTGACTTAAAGGACCCTTCAAGTCTCTGGGGCAAGGGGCCTGTGGGGGCCAGAGCAGAGGATGGAGAACAGTGAGAAGGCAGTGCAGAGCCTGGGGAAGGTGATGGTACCGGGATGGGTGCAGTGGTGGAGAGAAGAGAGGACTTCAGGTTAGACTGCAGAGGCAGAAATGATGGTGTTGCTGTGTGGGGAGGAAGGGAACGATGACAACGACCCCCGGGTGTCTGACCTGAGCATCTGGGCAAGCACTGGCGCTGTTAGGAGATGTGGGAATATCGGTAGGCCTGTTCTGGACCTGTCTGAGCCCCTCTAGAGTGTGATGAGGTTGGAGAGGCAGGTGGGTCCACGAGCCTGGAGTTCAGGAGGGTCTGGCTGGGAGTGGAGACCTGAGAGTCAAGAGGTAGCATGTACAGCCCGGACTGGGGAGGGGAGGGTTCAGCAAGTCTTTGGAGGGGAAGTCTGAGAGGCCCTCGAAGGTCCTTGCCAAGGTGCCCAGGAGGGCAGGCTTGTGGTGGCTGAGCCGCTGTTTTCACAACAGCCCCGGAAGCTTTGGATCATGTCTGTGGCCGTGTTGGGTAAACAGGAGCAATGGAGCAGCTGGTCGCCAAGGCCCAAAGCTGAATCAGATGTCAGCTTGGTGTGAACTGTGGGTGCTCAGGGCTGGTGGGGGTGAGAGGGAGATAGGATGAGGATTGTAGGGTCTTCCAGTATCAGGGCTGGAGAAAGCTTAGAGGTCTCCATTGTCAAGACAGAGACTGAGGCCCTGAGAGGGACAGCTAGCCTGGGGTCTGCTGATGGACTCAGGCTGCCTTAGCCCTGCCTAGCTTCTTCCTAGAGCAGCAGGCCAGAGCAGGGCACTGCAGGGCTGGGTGGCATGAGAAAGCCCATTTACCCACTGATCCAAGGAAATTTGGAAGCCCCTACAGTTGCTGAGGACAGCTGGAAAGGGAGGTTAGCCCAGGTGGGGAGAGGGCCAGGTATGAGAATGACAGTGGTGATAAGGATGATGGTGACAGCTGCCTCTGTGCCAGGTCCTGCACTCAGCACAACCTCCTAGGCAGGGCAAGATCATTCCCTTTACAGATGAAGATGCTAGAGCGCCTTGGCCAAGTTCACAGGGCACTCAGGGCAGACCAGATCTAACTAGACCTGTCCAGCACACACCCAGGCCCCCACTCTTCAGTTCCTCTGTTCACTGCCCACTGTGGGATGGCACACTGTTGTCCTGCCTCTCTCCAGCTTTTTCGTGATCCTTAAAGTGGGAGGCATCATCTGGGCCTTCTTACCTTGTGGGGATGGAGCTCAAAAGCCTTAGGTGTCCATCTTGCCTTCTGCCAAACACAAAGATTATTGTTGTCGATCAGGATAATCATGGGAACTCTGGGAGGAG